AAAAATCATGATTCTCAAGTATTCTTTGGTATTTTCACAGTGTCATGCCTTTTTTACCTTTGAAGAAACGTTTTTCCTATTATGTATTTTACGGAATTGGGGAACAATAACAGCTGGTTAAAAATGACTTTGATTTTGTTAATATGAATTTATACATTATATATATATTATCAATATGTAAAATATTTATCAGTTTATATAATTATACTATGTATAAGCTTATATAACAATATGATGTTAATACATTCCTGATTTACTACAGTATTTTGAGTGAATTATATTCATTCCAGTGGTAGTAAAACAAATATTAGCATGTATTGGTTAACTGCAAATACAAGATCAGATCTTTTCATCTTTTTCAGATATTATGTGACATTTACATTTGAAATTTGCATATTTAAAAAATATGTCCGTTTAGTCTTACACTTATTGACGAGAGTGAAAAGTGAAAATAAACTACCTTCTCCTGAGATCTCTCCCCATCTCCCATCAAATCTCCAAGATCATTGCCACCTTTCTTAGAAATTTTGGATCTAGTATTATAACTTTTCTTTTTTGCTGTTGTTGTTACCTAGTATTTATTTTTTAAAATTCTATTTCAACTGTTTTTGGGGAACAGGTAGTTTTTAGTTACATAGATAAGTTCTTTTAGCGGTGATTTCTGAGATTTTGGTGTACCCATCACCCAAGCAGTGTAAACTGTACTCACTGTGTAGTCTTTCAACTCTCACCCCCTCCCGCCCTTTCCCCCAAGTTCCCAGAGTCCATTATATCATTCTTATGCTGTTGTGTCCTCAAAGCTTAACTCCCCTTATAATTAAGAACATAACCATATTTGGTTTCCATTCCTGAGTTACTGTACTTAGAATAATGGTCTCCAACTCCCTACAGGTTGCAGCAAATGCCATTATTTCATTCCTTTTTATAGCAGAGTAGTATTCCATGATGTATATATCATTTTCTTTATCCACACATTTGATATTGGTTGATGAGCATTTAGGCTGGTTCCATATTTTTGCAATTGCAAATTGTGCTACTATAAACATGTAGGTGCAAATGTCTTTTTCATATAATGACTTATTTTCCTCTGGGCAGATACCCAGTAGTGGGATTGCTTTCTGCTTCTAGTTCCTAATGAATCTCCATACTATTTTTGGTGATACTAGTTTACATTCCCACCAGCAGTGTAAAAGTTCCCTTTTCACCACATGGACACCAACACCTATTATTTTTTTATTTTTTAATTATGGCCACTCTTACAGCATAAGGTGGTTCTCATTGTAGTTTTAATTTTCATTTCCCTGATAATTAGTGATACTGAACATTTTTTTCATCTTTGTTGGCCATTTGTGTATCTTCTTTTGAGAATTGTCTATTCATGTCCATAGCCTGCTTTTTGATGGGATTATTTGATTTTTCTTGCTTATTTGTTTTAGTTCCTCGTAGATTCTAGATATTAGCCCTTTGTCAAATACATAGTTTCCAAATACTTTCTCCCACTCTGTGGGCTGTTTACTCTGCTGATTATTTCTTTTGCTGTAGAGAAATATTTTACTTTAATTAGGTCCCATATTTATTTTTGTTTTTGTTGCATTTGATTGCAGGTTCTTGGTCATAAACTCTTTGCTAAGCCAATGGCTTGAAGAGTTTTTCTTTAGTTATCTTCCAGAGTTTTTATTGTTTCAGGTCTTACATTTAAGCCTTTGATCCATCTTCTGTTGACTTTTGTATAAGGTGAGAGATGAGGATCCCTTTTTATTCTCCTACATGTGGCTTGCCAATTATCCCAGCACCCTTTGTTAAATAGGGTGTTCTTTCCCCACTTTCTGTTTTTGTTTGCTTAGCTGAAGATCAGTATTTGGCTTGATTTCTGGGTTTTCTATTTCTGTTGGTCTACATGCCTATCTTTATGTAAGTACCATGCTGTTTGGGTAACTATAGCCTTGTAATATAGTCTGAAGTTAGGTAATGTGATGTCTCCAGATTTGTTCTTTATGCTTAGTCTTGTTTTGGCATGTGGGCTCATTTTTGGTTCCATATAAATTTTAGGTTTGTTTTTTCTAGTTCTATGAAGAATGATGATGGTATTTTAATGTGAATTGCACTGCATCTGTAGATTGCTTTTGGTAGCATGTCATTTTCACAATATTGATCCTACCCATCCATGAGTATGGGATGTTTTTCCTTTTGTTTGTGGTTATCAATTATTTGTTTCAGGAGTGTTTTGTAGTTTTCCTTGTAGAGACTTTTCACCTCCTTGGTTAGGTATATATCTAATTATTTTATTGTTTTTGTAGCTGTTGTAAAAAAGGACTGAATTCTTTCCTCAATTCTAAGGTTTGTCATTCTTGGTGTATAACAGTGCTACTGTTTTGTGTACATTCATTTTGTATCCGATACTTTACTGAATTCCTTTATCAGATCTAAGAGCTTTTTGAATGAGTCTTTAGGGTTTTCTAGGTATGCAGTCACGTCGCTGGCAAACAGCAACAGTTTGCCTTCCTCTTTACCAGTTTGGATGCCCTTTATTTCTTTCTCTTCTCTAATTGCTCTTGTTAGGACTTCCAGTATTACATTGAATAGAAGTGGTGAAAGTGAACATCCTTGACTTGTCCCAGTTCTCAGGAGAATGCTTTAAACTTTCCTACTCTGCATAATGTTGGCTATGGGTTTGTCATAGATAGTTTTTATTTCCTAGAGGTATATTTCTTCTATGCCAATTTTGCTGATGGTTTTTATTATAAAGGGGTGCTAGATTTTATCAAATGCTTTTTCTGCATCTGACATGATATGATTTTTGTTTTTAATTCTGTTTATGTGATATATCATATTTATTGACTTGTGTATGTTAAACCATCCTTGCATCCCTGGTATGAAATCCACTTGATCATGATGTATTATATGATTGACATGCTGTTGGATTTAGTTAGTTAGTATTTTGTAGAGGATTTTTGCATCTATGTTTAGGATATTTGTATGTATTTTTTTGTTGTTGTTGATATGTCCTTTCCTGGTTTTGGTGTTAAGGTGACACTGGTTTCATAGAATAATTTAGGGAGGATTTCCTTTTTCTCTATCTTTTGGAGTAGTTTCAGTAAGATTGATACCAATTCTCCTTTGGATGTCTGATAGAAATCAGCTGTGAATCAATCTGGTCCTGGACTTTTTTGTTGGCAATTTTTAAATTACAGTTTCAATCTCACTACTTGTTATGTCTACTCAGAGTTTCTGTTCTTCCTGATTCAATCTAGGAGGGTTGTATATTTCCAGGAATTTATCTACCTACTCTAGATTTTCTAGTTTGTGTGCATAAAGGTGTTCATAGTAGCCTTGGATGATCCTTTGTATTTCTGTGGTATCAGTTGTAATATTTCACACTTCATTTCTAATTGAGTTTATTTGAATCTTCTCTCTTCTTTTCTTGGTTAATCTCACTAATAGTCTATAAATTTTGTTAATCTTTTTGAAGAACCAACTTATTTTTTCATTTATTTTTTCTTTCAATTTTATTTAGTTCTGCTCTGATCTTGGTTATTTATTTTCTTCTGCTGAGTCTGGCTTTGGATTGTTCTTGTTTATCTAGTTACTGTAGGTGGGGCATTTGATTGTCTACTTGTGCTCTTTCAGACTTATGTAGGCATTTAATGCTATGAGTTTTTCTCTTAGCACCATTTTTTTACTGTACCCTAGAGGTTTTGATAAGTTGTGTCACTAAAATCATTCAGTTCAAGTACTTTTTAAATTTCCACCTTGATTTCATTGTGGACTCATTCAAGAGCAGATTATTTATTTTCCATGTATTTGGATGGTTTTGAGGGTTCATTTTTGGAGTTAGTTTCCAGTTTTATTCTACTGTGGGCTGATAGGATGCTTCAGGTGATTCCTATTTTCTTAAATTTATTAAGACTTATTTTGTTGTCTATCATATGGTCTATCTTGGAGACTGTTCCATCTGCTGATGAAAAGAATGTATATTCTGCAGCTGTTCGGTAGAATGTTCTGTTAATATCTGTTAAGTTCACTTATTCTAGGGTATAGTTTCTTAAGTCCATTATTTCTTTGTTGACTTTCTGTCTTGATGACTTGTCTAGTGCTGTCAGTGGAGTATTAGAGTATCCACTATTATTGTGTTGCCATCTATCTTATTTCTTAGGTCTAGTAGAAATTGTTTTATGAATTTGGGAGCTCTAGTGTTAGGTGCATATATATTTAGAATTGTGATATTTTCCTGTTGGACTAATCCTTTTATCATTATATAATGTCTGATTTTTATTTTTTGGTCTTTTTTTTGTTTTTTGTTGGTTTGTTTGATGGTTTTTACAGTTATTGCTTTAAACTTTGTTTTGTCCAATACAAAAATAGCTACTTCTACTTGCTTTTGGTTTCTATTTGTGTGGAATTTTTTTTCCACCCATTTATCTTAAATTGATGTGAGTCCTTATGTGTTAGATCTGTAGGAGACAGCAGATAATTGGTTGTTAAAGTTTTACCCATTCTGCAGCTTTTTAAAATTTTACTTTAAATTCTGGGATACATGTGCAGAACGTGCAGGTTTGTTACATAGTGCCATGGTGGTTTCCTGCCCCTCTCAACCTGGCATCTAGGTTTTAAGCCCTGCTTCCATTATGTATTTGTCCTAATGCTCTCCCTACCCTTGTTCTCCACCTGCAACCAGTCCTAGTGTGTGATGTTCCCCTCCCTGTACCCATGTGTTCTCATGTTCAATTCCCACGTATGAGTAAGAACATGTGGTGCTGGTTTTCTGTTCCTGTGTTAGTTTGCTGATAATGATGTTTTCAGCTTCATCCATGTGCCTGAAAAGGATATAAACTCATTCTATTTTATGGCTGCATAGTATTCCTTGGTGTATATGTGCCACATTTTCTTTTTTTTTTTCATTCACGCCCTAGTGTTTATTTATATCTTAAAGTAAAAAGTCTACCTGTACATATTGATTTCACAGCATCAGTAAATTTATATACTTGGAGATTCGTTTCTGGGTTATAATTCTTCCTCTGTGTCTTGTGACCGTTTCCGGGTATTCAAGGAATCTTCTGTCTGCAATGAACATGCAGAAGTAATAACAGTATCTCTAAATCCCTGAGGTGTGATTTGAAACAGTACTGTGGATTCCTTCTGGCTGGGTGACTTGTACAATGCTGCCAACCTTTGCTTTTGGTCCCAATGAAAGATTAGCCGTATTGTAGCAGCATGTCCCCAACTTTCCCCTAATGCAGGAATGAACAAGGCCTGATTTTTATCAATCTTTGTTGTCATCTGATTGGTTAAAATTACAGCTAATCTGTGATTATTTGCAAGACTGATCATTTGCTGGGCTAGGCCATTTAATAACCGAGTACGAAGAGACAGGTCATCTAGGTCATGACGAAATGGAAAAGCAATGCCATCCACTATCACCAACCGAACCTTTGACTGTTCTGAAAGGAAAGCTGGAAGAAGATAAACTTGTGCCAGTAACTCTGTGTAGGCACGACAGCGAAAATAATAAATATGGGAAAGAATATTTTCAAGAGTGAAATCCTCCAAAGCTTTTCGGTGTTCCTCTCCCTTGTGTTTTTCTGCTATAAGCTGAAGGTGCTGAATGCAGGCAGTAGCAAGGTCTACCATTCTATCAACCATAAAACTTCCCTCTGTATCAATAAAAACTGCTTCACCTGCCACTCCTCCAAAACATTCTGGTATCTGCACATCTACTGCCAACTGCATACATAATTGTGTTTTTCCAATGCCTGTTGCACCACAAATTTCTGTCGTTTTCATTAAGGGTACTCCACCCCCAAGAATATTATCTAGTGCTGAACAGAAGGTAATTATGGATCCCTGGGTATGCTCCTGTTCAAGAAGTTCCAGTGCTGTACACTTCTTTCCTGACTCAGATGTACCAGCATATCTTGGTTTATTTGTGAGACATTCTCTTATAATTTGCGGAGTTTCTAAGGCTTCCTCTTTAGATATCCCAACTTCTTTGCTAAGCTCGGAGGGTTTCACCTCCAGGAGTTCCTCAGCAGTCTGGAAACCCGCAGACACCAACTTTGCCCACACCGCTGGAGACAGCGGGAAACTCAGCAAATCCCGCTGCATTTCAAAGCGGAACGTCTTCCCGTGCCGCCACATTTTCTTTATCCAGTCTATCATCGATGGGCATTTGGGTTGGTTCCAAGTCTTTGCTATTGTAAATAGTGCTGCAATAAACATACATGTGCATGTGTTTTTACAGTAAAATGGTTTATAATAGTTTGGGTATATAGCCAGTAATGGGATTGCTGTGTCAAATGGTATTTCTATTTCTACATCCTTGAGGAACTGTCTTCCACAACGTTTGAACTAATTTACACTCCCACCAACAGTGTAAAAGTGTTCCTATTTCTTTCTCCATATTCTCTCCAGCATCTGTTGTTTCCTGACTTTTTAATAATCACCCTTTTAAGTAGAACAATTAGTCCATTTACATTCAATTTTAGTATTGAGATGTGAGGTACTCTTCTATTCATCATACCAATTGTTGCATAAATACCTTGTATATTTCATTGTGTTACGGTTTTTACAGGGTCTGTGAAATTTATGCTTTAAGGAGGTTCTATTCTGGTGCATTTTGAGGTTTTGTTTCAAGATTTAGAACTCCTTTTAGCATTTCTTGTAGCGTAGCATTGGTAGTGGTGAATTCTCTCAGCATTTGTTTGTATAAAAAAATACTTTAATTTTTCCTTCACTTAATAAATTTTTGTTTGTTTGTTTTGCTGGATTAAAAAAGTCTTGGCTGACAATTAATTAATTTCAGGAGGCCAAATCAGGACCCCCATCCCTTCTGCTTGTAAGGTTTCTCCTCACAGATTTTTCTTTACAGGTTACCCAATGCTTTTGTCTCACAGCTCTTAAGATTCTTTCCTTCATCTTGACTTTAGATAATCTGATGACTATGTGCCTAGGTGCACAGTTGTGTAGCTGTGTCTGTGGTGGAGTGCTAGAGGGGAACAAGGACCCCTTCTCCAAGACCCTTCACTGGACTGCTGTGATTGTTATTGCTTTTCTGGGTCTAACAACCAAGTGGGGCCAGCAGATTCAAGGCTGGTGCTAAGCAATGTCTGCAAAGAGTCCTGTGATGTGATCCATCTATAGGTCTCCCAGTTATGAATACCAGTACCTGCTCTGGTGGAGGTAGCTGGGGAGTGAAGTAGACTCTGTGAGAGCCCTTGGTTGTAGATAGGCTTAGTGTGCTGGCTTTCTTGAATGTTCATTATGCTAGTGGTGAAGTTTTCATGTGGACAAACTCAGGGTCTCTGGTTAGCCCGGATATTGCAGGTGGTGGTATTAACTGTTGTTTTCTCCTTCCTGATAGCAGGGTTATTCTGTCATGAGTTGCTATAAAGGCCTAAGTTCGTTGGCCTTCAGCCAGGAGTTGGTGCTTTCAAGAGAGCACCAGCTATGATACTAGCAGTGGGATATAAGCCCCCACTAAGTTGGCCAGGGGAGGTATTCTGGTTACTCAGGCAATGGGTGGGACCTTAAGGCTCCCATGAGTGTATGCCTTTTGTGTTCACCTACCAGGATGGAAAGAGAAATACCATCATTTGGAGGCAGGGTTAAGAGGGTCTGAACTCAGACTCTCCTTGGGTGGGCTTGCCATGCCACTGTGGGGGTTGGGAGGGTGGTTCTCAGGCCAACGAGGTCATGTTCCAGAGGGGAGTATGGCTGCCTCTGCTTAGCAGTATTATTCACCAGAAAAGTGGGGAATAGCCAGTAGTAAAAGGTCTCACTCAACTCCCATGCAGTTGGCAAGGCTGGTCTTGCTCCTGCAGTGTCCCACTAACAGTACCAAGTTTAGATTCAAGCAGCTTGCTCTTGTGAAATTCAGACCTTGCCTCAGGCCATAAGTTACCCCTCTTAGCAAGCAAGCTCTGCTTTCAGGCCTTGCCCCTCCCCATCCGCCAACAATGTTGGCTGTGGCTCCTGCCCTTGTATCTCCAACAGTTCCCATTCACCCCTAGATTATGTCAAAAAAGTTAGTGCCCAGTTAATATTATTGCAAAATTCAGTTGGAAGCTTCTTATACCCTGTGACCCCTTCCTAATTCTGCGGACTGCCTTCTTCAAGGGCTGTTGTGAGATACAATCAGGGATGGCTTCTTTGTGCTCAAGCTGAAGAATGGGAGTGCCTATAAGGCTTTTCCCACTGTTGCTTTTACTTTTATATTTTGCACAGTTCCCTAAATCCATTCCAGCTCTAGATAAGGTTAAATCCTTGTCAGATCTGTATTTTCAGATTCCCCAGTGGGACTACATGTTTGAAGTCAGGCTTTCCCTCTTTCAGACCTTGAGAACTCATAGTTTTTCATTTGTCTCATGGAATCTGCAGTGACATGTGCTTCCTCCACAGGATCTGTGAATTCTTTAGGTTTTCCTGGCATGGTGCTGCGTGGTTCTTGGAGCAAAAGTTCATAGTGTGAATCTCCACATGCTGTTCTGTCCATCCAAATAGGAGGTGCATGTTAACCCTATGTCCTAACTACCATCTTCCCCTGTGAAAGGAAATTAAATTTTGGGACCTCAAACTCATTTAGCCAAATGGAAAAGTCAAGCTGGGAACTGGGTCATACAAATCTGTCTTCATCTTCACCTTTTGGTTCCTAATTAAAATGGTTACAGGATGAAAACCAATCGCCTTCCCCATATTTTGTCAACAAGGAAATTCCTGGTGAGCTGTTACAACTTTATCATGGCAATGCTAATTGACAGCTTATCTTTACAGGTGCAGTCACCCAGCCAGCCGGACACAAATGCATATCAGACTGTTCCCATACGCCATTTTGTCTGTATTATCTTATGTAAAATGCAGATTCCCCACATTTTTCCTTTGCCCCTTTTAACTGAAAACTGTATGCTTCTCAATATCCTGCCCTTTCCTTTTAAATTTGGAGCCCTCAAAATCATCTTCAGAGAAAGGCATAGACCTGTCTCCCAGCAGCATCCTTAACTTTGGCAAATACGTCTCCAAAAATTATTGAGATTTGTCTCATAATTTTCTTTGATTGACACCGCCATCATGACTTTTCTACTGCAGGAACATCCAATATGCAGGAATTACTTTTTCAATGTTTCTATGTCCTTATTGCATCCCTGCCCAATCTGAGTCCCATGGATTGCCATTTCAACCACACTTGCATGACACCTCCATTACTTTGCTCTTCGTCCTGTACCATGTTCCCTGTTCCGATCCTGAACATCATGTAAATCACATCATATTACTATTTATGGTTTCTCCTCTTGGGCTGCTGATCATTTTGAAGAAATCTCAAAATCTACATACACATTTCTGCCATCATTCAAGCCTCAGCTGGCTCCTTCTAACCTTTCGTAATCTTTTATTTTGTACTCAGTTAACTACACATTCACCATTTATACTGAACATTTTTTATTTTTGTCTGCCAAATGTCCATTTCCATTTGTTTTGATAACAGCACCTCAATATTCCTTTGGGTAACTATGCCTATCTCACTTTCAGCCTTTGTGGTCTGAGTAGGGAACTGTTTCCCATCTACCCATACACACGATTTTATAGATTAGCAGATGATATGCAACGAACCAAATTGCTAGTTCTTTCTCTCGGTGGGAGCGAGCACGTGGTCCAGGTCTCTACTGGAAGCTTGTTCCAGAACTTTGCTGGAACTGAAGAGGTATTCTTTTTGCATTGTGGTTGCTAAACTGGTTGAATTTAAGCCTGCAGCTACTAGTGGCCAATCTTGCCGCTACATAAACTGATTCTGCCTAAAAAGAAAGCCACCACAGAGAAATACAGGGCAAAAGGTGAAAATATATTGCTGATGGCATCATTTGAACACTTAGATCCACACATGCCTGAAGCTATCATAGGCTTATCCATATAAACTAGTGAATATTTTCCTTGGGTCAACTTGAGTTAGGTTTCTGTCACTTCACTGAAATGAGTCCTAACTAACGTCCTGCTCTCCAGAACTGTTTTCTTAAAGATCTCCATTAACACTAACAACAGCAGCTGATATTTATTGAATGCTTACTATATGCCGGATATCATTTCAAGCACTTTGCGTGGATAAAATCATTAAAACCTCACAATAACTCTATGATGTTACTATTATTATCTCCTGTTTACAGATTTAAAAATTGAGGCACAGAGAGATTAAGAAACTTGTCCTAAGGCTATGCACTTGTAAGTGGAAGATTTGGGACTCAAGCCAGGGAAGAGTTTCACACCTGAGCTATTATACACTGCCTCAAGAGTCAGCAAATCCAGTCGCCTTTCCTCATTCTCTTTAGCCTCTTTGCCCAGTTCGACACTATCCATTTGTTCTTCAAACTTGCATAGAAAGCTTTAGCTTTCTAGTCCTTCTATTAGGAACTTCTTTAAGTTTTCTTCTACCCTGCCTCCTAAATCTAAGGTTCTCCTAATGATTCTCTACTCTTTTCTTGGTAATCTCACATACCTCTGTGCAAATAACACCATTAACTCAAGCCTCTAATTTTGAACTTCCTGCTGTCTCCAAATCACCCACATGTCCTGCTAGGGCCTCAAATGGCATGAATTGCATCACAAAATGTTGGGTTTCTAGGAGGAAATTATAATTTTTTTATTATTTAATTCAGTCTTGGTTGGAAATTATAATTGATGCCAGAGTTTATAAAATTCAACAGTTAGGTAATGAGTTTATTGATATAGAGGTGCTTTGGGATGAATAAACATTCAGCTAGCCATTTTATCTGTTGTGATGAGAGATAATGTTAGTCGATATTTAGATACTAATTACCTAGCAGTTAAAATAAATCTGTACTTGCTTTGTATCTTATAAAGCTGAGTTTTTGTCTGCCTTTTTACTAAAATGTAAATAATCTTCCCTGAAAGACTGAAAATCATACTCTTCATTTGTACCTTTGAGATGATGAATATTTGTTATTTATTAAAGCAAAAAGTGTTTCTTCACTTCTGGTTGTAAAATGACTGGAGAGGTTGTTTTTAGTTTACCAGACCTGTGCAAATTAATTCCTCTGTAGGGTCATGAGTTCTCACACTTGACCTTTCTTTAGAATCATCTGATATCCTATACCAAGAAATTCTGATTTAGTTGTACCACAGTAAGAACAGGGCATTGGTGTTTTCACAAGCATTCCGTATTATTCCAACACACTTCCAAGGTTGAGAATCATTGCTCAGAGAGGGTTGCTCGATAAATATGGGACACCCAGATAAATTTTAATTTTTAGTACCTAAACATTTTTAGTATGTTTTATACTAAAAAATTAATTCACTGTTTATCCAAAATTCAATTTTAACTGGGCATCTGTTTTTATGTGCCAAACTTGTCAGCCTTATAATTTCTCTGAGTTCATCCCTGTGATTTCATAGGAAATAAGAGATTATATTACGTTCCTTTTGTCTTGTCTTTCTTCTTTCAGTCCTGTTTATAATAAATCTTGTACCTCCAAAAGTTTATTTCTTTAAAAAGGAAGCACTGCAAATTCAGCCAGGAGGCCAATCTTTTTCTCTAGAAGTTGCCCACATTCTCCCTTTTGTGTGTTTCCTGGGTGGTTCCCTCCAGCAAAGGAAGGTCAAGTCTCTCTCAGGCTTCAGAGCTCTCTGACATTTCTTGCTGTCTTATCTTTCTGACTCTAGCTGGAGAAAGTTTTCTGCTTTTAAAGGTTCATGTGATTAGACTGTGCCTGCCCAAATAATCCTAAATAGTCTCCCTATTTGGGTTAGTCACTTTTATTACATTAGTAAAGTCCCTTTTCTATATACTGTGACATTTTTACAGGATCCAGAGATTAGGATGTGGACATTTTGGGGGAGCCATTCTGCCTACAACAGTTGTTGTGGGTGTCATCTACACTTCTCTCTTCCATCAGATTCTCTGTCTCACCACTTTGTTATAGAATACATCCTCCAATTGCTTCCTGAGAAAGGATGCATGAAGATACTGTTTAAGCCTTGGTATTTGAAAATGTCTTTTTTAACCTCATACTTTATCAATTTCAAAATCTGAAATCATTTTTCTCAGAAATTATCTTTCATTTATGTTTCTGTTGAGAATCCAATGCCATTATAAATGCCATTCATAAATTCTAAGTCTTCATAAATCATTTCTTAATTTTTCCTCCCTGAAAGCTATTAAGATCTCTCTGACTTATGTGGTTTTAAATTTCACAATAATATACTTTGGTATAGATAATTTTTATCCACTGAGCTGAGAGTTCATTTGCTTCTGTCCTTTAGTTCTGAGAACTGTTGTCCTGGTTTTCTTTGGTAATTATGTTTCTTCTATTTGCTCTACTAGCTGTTAGATATTCCAACTTTCCTTGCCTAATTGCCCTGGCTAGTGCCTCCACTATAATGTTGAATAGAAGTAGCTACAGTTAAATAAATAAGGTTTAATTTTCTCCCTACAAAAAAAAAAAAGTAGCTACAATTGACTTCCTTGTTTTATTCCTGATCTTAGATGAAAATGTTCATTCCTTCAAGATTAAGTATGATTTTAATTATGGAGTTTTTCATAGAGGCTCTTTATTAGGTTGAGGAAGTTTCCTTTTATTCCTAGTTGAAGTGTTTATATCAAGAAAGGCTGTTAGATTTGGTCAACTGCTTTTTCTTCATCTATTGAGATGATCATGTGGTTTTTGTCCTTTAGTCTATTAAAGTGGTGTGTTACATTGATTAATTTTGTATGTTACACCAACCTTGCATTCCTGAGATAAATCCTACTTCCTCATGTTGTATAATTTTTTTTTTAATGTTGCTGGATTTGGCTTGCTAGTATTTTGTTGAGGATTTTTTATGCTAATATGCATAAGTTGTATTGGTCTGTATTTTTCTTGTGATGTCTTTCATTTTGTTTTTTATTTCCTTGGATTTTCAGACGGGAAGTCACTGCATATAGCCCTAATCCTAGGACAAGATTCCAAATAAGTCACTTTTGGCAAATAAAAATTTCTATATCTAGCAGAGAAACAAAGCTGTATATTCGTTTGAGGTTCTCTCCTAGCTTCCTTCCCTCTTCTCAAGCCGACTAATAAAACTTGCTTTTCATATTTCAGATCTTACTTATAGTCGTTTGATCATCTATGAGGCACCTGCAAGTGAACATTTACTGCAGGCGGCCCCCTCACTCCCTAAATAAGCCCTTTTGATTTACCTCCAGTCATAAACTCACCTCCCAACTGTAATTTGTCAAGAGTAGTGTCACGTGCACTTCAGTGGTTAATCTCCTTGCACACCGGTGGAACTTGAGGCACAAGGTCAGCAACGAAGGTAGTGATATTCGAAGGGAAAACTAAACCCAGATAGTGTTGCCGGCTTAGAAAGTCCGAGGCTTGGAGATGGGTGGTGGGACGCCTGCCTAAGATTTTAGCAGGGAGCAGCCCCAGCAGTGGGCTTGGAGCTCTGAACTCCAGAAAAGGCCGAGAGAGGATAAGGGAGACCACGCGGATCATTTCTGTGGCTCTGGTAAGGGAATGACAAGGGAGAAAAACTTTCCCACGGTTCCTCCCAGCCAGCGGCGCTTGTCGGCCTGCGCGGGGTCAAAGACCGGCGCCGCCCACGCGCGGCTCTGGTGGGAACCCACAGAGGTGGGGTGAGCAGGGACGCGGGCGGCGACGGGCGGCGGCGGGCGAGCGCCGGGACGCCACGTCCGAGGCAGCAGGGTCCGCACTGCCGGCGCAGCTGGAGCGCTTTCCGCGGGGTTTGGCTCCTGTCGCTTCCCGTCTCGCCGAACCGGCATCGCAGCAGCCGGAGCCGTGGCGGGTCCTCAGAGCGTGGCTGCGGGCGGCCGGGAGCGCCGGGAGGGGGAGCGAAGCCGGCGGCTCCAGGACGCGGACACAGGTAAAGGCCGGCTGCTCGGAGTACGGCCCGGCGCGGCGGCGGCGGCGCTTCTCGCAGGGGCCCAGCCAAGGCCCGGCCCTGCCCAGACGCGGTGGCTTGGCCCCCACGTTGGCTCAAGCGGGGACGCGGCAACCGGCTGGGCTAGGGCTGTCGCTGGCCTGGCCGCCTCTCACCTGGGCCTCAGGTGACGCGGCGGCGGCTTAACTTTCGCACCTGAGGTTCTCCGAGCGGCCTCCGGGCGCGCCTGCCTGGAGGTTGAAATTATACGGGCTCGAAAAAGCTGAGCCCTGGCGGCGAGGCGCCGGAGGCGTGGCGGAGGCCGGGGAGGGTGGGGTGGGGCGGCTGCGAGGGGTCCTGTACTGAACACAGGTCTGAGGTGGGGAACTGCGTCCTGTTTAATTTTGGAGCTTGTGTAGAGAGTCTGCACCCACCCCCCTCCACGGACGGTTCCCTCTGCACTGATCCATTTCCTTTGTCTGGTCCATTTCAGTATCGACGTCGCAGTTGCTTTTCTTGCAGCCTTGGGTCCGGAGTGTACGACTTTATGCTAGGCAGAGGTCATAAGCTCTGAAATGCATGGGGGCGGAGGTGGGAGATGGTTCTTTGGTGAGAAATTACTAGTGCTGTTGTGATCGCTAACAGGTATATACTACCTTTTTTTTTTTTTTTTTTTTTTTCTGCGAGATAGTGCTCATTATTTTCATGGCATCTAATAGTTTTAAGTGCACCTGTGAGAGTGTTTATTCGTTAACTTCAAAGGAGCATTATTCAGACAGGTTACTATTATCCTATTTTATAGACCAGACAGCTGAAGCACCTGGGAGGAAAAGTGATTATATCAAAACTAAGCAGTCAATCCTTGTGGAAGCTGTAATTAGAACTTGTCTGACAAGAGTTGTCCTTGATCCAGTTGAATTCTTAGCCCCAAACAAAATTTAGCGCTCAAAGGCGGACAATGCACCTTGTATTTTTATTTACTCATTAATTGCTAAAATCTTTCTTCAAAAATAGAGTGGAGCCGTGCGCGGTGTTTCACGCCTGTAATCCCATCACTTTGGGAGGCCAAGTCGGGCGGATCACGAGGTCAGCAGTTCGAGACCAGCCTGACCAACACCGTGAAACCCCGTCTCTACTAAAAATACAAAAATTAGCCAGGCGTGGTAGCGTGCGCCTGTAATCCCAGCTATTCAGGAGGCTGAGGCAGGAGAATCGCTTGAATCCAGGAAGCGGAGGTTGCAGTGAGCCGAGATCGCACCACTGCACCCAGCCTAGGTGACAGAGCAACACTCTGTCTCGGGAAAAAAAAAAAAAAAAAAGTCAAATCCTTTCAGATTCTTGTTATAGTACCCCTAAAAATGGTACTTGAAAGATCATGATCACTTCAGTTTCAAATGAATAGTAGTATCATTTGAGTCATAGACATGAGTAGAATTCCTTTGTCTTTTATCTGTCAAACTTTCATCTGTATGAATGTACTGCCACCGGCCCAAAGATACTTGGTGACAATAGCAGAGATATAAATATTTAATAAATGAGTAGAATCGAGGAGGCGAGCTGCTAAGGTTTCCCGGAATATTTGAACGGCAAGTTTTTTCTCATAAAGAATTGAAAATTTAGGAGAGTAGTTATTTTAATTATTTATTTAAATGAAAATTCTCTCTTAATTGAGTTGTACTTTGTCTCTCTGGGACCATCAACAACTTACCAATTTCCCTAGGGTTTGCTCTTAGTTTTGTCAATGGTTCCTCTCATTTTTTATGTGTTTTGTTTTTCAAAGTGAAGATTTTTTTCTTCTAAAATAAAAAAAAAAAATGAAGAAAACAAGCTGTCTTGATAAAATAGACTTAATTAGCACTCTTTTGGGTGTGTCTGAGGACTGACACCAGCCTCTTTAATAAGCACTTCACACATAGAGCAGGAATTCTTCCAGGCAAGAATGCAATAAATTAATCATCATTTTAATATTTTCTGTAATATTTTATGATGTGTCTACCTGAGTAATACTTTTTACTCTTACAATGTCTTTTTATCAAGGAGCATAAAGATTAAAAATTTCTCTTAAATTTTGCTAACTACAAAGTACAAGGGGACAGTGCACTTAGACTGAATTGTTGTTATCATGGAATAAACACAGTTCCCTCTCCCTTATACCACCTCCATTTGATCATCTGAAAGAAGAATGGTTGTCTGTCCTTTCCTACCACGGGATATTTGAGAAATTAATAAAGTAGAATCTCGAAGGTAGTTTGGATTCCATGGAAGAAAGCAGCTTTGTTAACTTCAAAATGTGATTGTAGTGTCTTGAAACATTTTCCTTCCTTAAACATGCCATCATTTATATTTTTAAAGATTGGTCATTCCAAGTAGTCACCTAAGGAGGCTAAAAACTTACTCCAGCAGTGCTGCTGCCATTCATAATTATTTTCAATTTTTTGAAATTTCTAGTCAGTTTACAAGCAAAATAAAAACATTTCATATCTTTCATAAACACTTGTTTTTGTTTGTATTTTTTAATCAAAAAACTAATTCAGCTTGAGTATTTTCTTTGCTAAATTTGGCAGAATGATTTCTGCATGGTTGTAAAACTCGGTTCTACCTTCAAGATTTTACCATTGTTAAGCATATTTAAAGGATTATCCTGATGGCTATGAAGGGCAGTTTCAAAAGGGCCGTTTAGGCCAGGTGCAGTGGCTCACGCCTGTAATCCCAGCACTTTGGGAGGCTGAGGCATATCACCTGAGGTCAGGAGTTTGAGACCAGCCTGGTTAATATGGTGAAACCCCATCTCTTAAAAAAAAGGGTGGGGGCCAGTTTAAAACTATAGTTTAAAACAGTGACAGACATTATTAGCATAAGTTTGCAACCTTCCCAGAAGACTACTCCGATGGGGGCATGCTTACCTGTAGGCTGGAGTTCTGTGCACGTGTGTAGGTTTCCACATTGTTAAATGTTTTGAAAATGATAATCTCTATTGTAACTTATCAATTATCTCTTTTCATCACATTGATTTCTTAGAAATTAGATATTTTACTTACATATTTAATAGAGTATATTAAGTAGATGACTTATCCTGGAACAGTGTTAGATTGGGAGTGTATTTCATACAGAAGTTTGAATTTTACATACATTTCAATCTTTGCAACAATTTTGAATAATAAAATTTGACTCCATATTGGATGTTTTGAGTGTAATACAGCCAAGGCAAAATAGCATCAAAAAATACAATTGCTATTAAAAAAAAAAAAAGTATTAACAAGGTATGTGTGCAACAGACTTTCCTGGCCATCTACCCATGGCAAAAGAAAAAATTTCAACAAATTTAGTTTAAATGTTGAATTGGCTTTTGCTAGCAATTCCAAAATTGGGTAGCATCTCATTCCATAAAATAGAATGCCGTGCCCAGGCATGGCAGAATAGTTGGTTTTTGTAAGATGGGAACAAGGAAGCGGAGAAATTCTAAAAAGCCTGTTGGTTAACATCAGATTACTTAAAGTTACTTTCCTTTTAAGTGTTCAGGTAGAAGGGACTACTTCTCATGCCAGCTCAGGTTACTAGGCCCTTTTGTGTTGGTTGCAGCAAATCCCCTGTTTTCAGGAAAAATTGGTTTGTTTGTTCTTTAACTTCCTTAAAGTTTCATTTTGATTATGTGGCACTGAGCATGAGTGACTCCCCTTTGGTTTCAGTGTTCTCTTGTAAATTTTATTTAAGAATTCGGTCCTTTCAGTAAGCTTTCACCTAAGTGAGAGTGTGACCAAAACTTAAGGCATTAGCGCTGCTCTCAGTTAACTATCATTCTGGGTTTTCAGTCTCAACATGTCATTAATAGGCTAGGTGTCCTCATTATCATAGGTTTCTTTGAGTTTTTATCATACCAGCTGGAGAGAGATCGTTGACATTCAGCAGATTGCTGCATGCAGTCATTTAAAACTTTTGAGAGAATGCAGCACACTAGGGAGACTGCTATGACTATCAGAAGGATAATGCCAAGAGTTTGAAATGTGCTCCTTAATCAAAGTTCCTGGGAACCAAACCAACTAAAATTGAACAGATCAAAGAAGGAGGCAGACAAAGAATCCACCCATTTTAACCAAGTAGACTGTTCTTTAATTTTTTTTTTTTTTGCAACTGAGTCTCTACAATACAGTACCATAATGTATCCATGTGCAACAATAAGTGTTATCAACTGTAAAGACGACTCTTTGTTTGACAAGTAGAAATCTAGAGCAACTCTATTAATATCTAGTATAACTTTTACAAGGGAATTCAGAGAAGTCTTGTGCAATTATAACATTGCAGTAGAATAGTCTATAGAGGCTATTGTGAGGGATAAATTCTAATCATTACTTCATTTGTATTATTCTAAGCCATATAGGAAAAGGGACCTAACAAAGCCCATCCAAAAGGGTTAATGCCTCTTGGGAGTGTTCTCTTTAACCTATGCCATAAGTTAAGAGGAGTGAGCCAGTGCTCCACTTCTGAGTGATTATGGAGTGACAAGTTACCATTAAGATTTTTAGCCCACAATGGCCCTTCATCCTCTACCTGTCAAGGCATGAGGTTGCCTGTGTATAAGCTTGGCCACAGAATGGTCCACAAATAATGATATACCCTGTGGGTACAAGTAAGGACCGCTTTCCAGTTCTGTTCATGGATATATTGCTTGGAATGGTGGATTTAGCAGTTTTTAGCTAAGAATCTGAAGCAGAGTTTACAGGTTAAAAGAACTGTAATATGCTTGCACATAAGTCAGTTCTTAAGAAACTCTATTCAGGCTTTTGGTACAATCTTGTCTTATGACACACTCTTTTGGACTTGGTTCTTGTATCCCATGACTAGATTAAAGTAAAACAGGGAGAGAGAACAAGTGGGCTTAGAAATCTGACTCTGTAACGGGGACCAGTAGTACAAGTTGAACCAGCAGTTGTATTAGGGATGTTGCTAAATTAGCCACTAAGTGGACTTTATAAAATATCTTTTAAGTTATGTAAAGATTTGGGTTT